GCTGCTGTCTCATGTGTTCTCACTGTGCCTGGGGCTGCATGGACTGTCACCTAGGCCTCCCCAGAGTCTGGTGATGGTGCTTGTAGTTCAGACAAACTACGAAGGCTAAGGTTTTAAGTGGTTTGTTCAAGTTAATAGAAGTTGCTGAACACAGAAATAGCAAATCAGGCCTAGCCAGGTCCAAAGTCTCTGCCTCCCTCCCCTTGGAATTGTGGTTTAATTTACAAATAAACTGCACATACCTAAAGTGTGCTGTTTGGTAAATTTCAGCATGTATCTGTCTGTAAAACCACCACAGTCAAGATAACAAATAGAACCTGTATTCTACCAAGGTCTCCCTTGGCCTTGCTAAATCCCTCCCTTCCACCCCTGCATGCATGCATCACCTTCCCAGACAGCTGCTACCTTAAGTTAGTTACACTATAGTTTGCTGGGCATGGTGGTGATGCATGTCTAGTCCTAGCACTTAGGAGGTTGAGGCAAAAGGATTGCACAAGTTTGATCTGGCCTGGGGGCTGTATCGTATCAGCCATTATCAAAGCTAGAGTGACAGCTGTGTCAAAATACAAACTAAACAATTACAATTTTACATGAAAAGAATGACCCAGTTTATTTCACTCTTAACATCAATCTGTGCATTGCACCATAGGCCAATAGCTTTTTTATTGTCAGTCATCCTTTGTGTGGACATATCAAAGTATTTAGGTGCTTGTACATTTGTGGGCATACTGTTTTGTTTCTCTTGGGGAATGCTTAGAAGCAGAACAGGTAGATCCTATGGTAGGTATCGGTGGCTTGAATGTGAAATGTACCCTGTAGGTTCACATGTCTGCACACTGGGTCCCAAGCTTTGATAGCACTGGAAGGATATGGAACCTTTAGGAGGCAGAGCTCCACTAGAGGAAGTAAGTTCCCAGAGGCATAGCCAAGGCATTATAGCTTAGCCCCACTTCCTGTTCATTCCCCTTCCTGAGTGCAGATGCAGTATGTCCAGCTGACTTACGGCTCCCGCTGCTGTGTCTTCTCTGCAAGGATGGGTTGTAGGTCTCTGGAAGCCAAAATATGCTATTTCTTCCTGAGGTTGCTTTTATCAGGGTATTTTATTACAACTAATTAACCAAGACAAAAGCTAGTACCAGGAGCGGGGTGCAGCCCATTAATGGTCGGAAGTCAAAGAAGCAGGCGCTCAAAGCAGCTGGTCACAGTATAGACACAGTCAGGAAGAAGACAGATGAATATTGTGCCTGGCTCATATTTTAAATAGTCCAGGATCTCATCCCAGAGAATGGTGCTACCCACAGTGGGTTGATCTTCCATCTCAATTAACCCAATCGGGATAATCCCCCACAGGTATACACGGAGACCCACCTCCCAGAGGATTCTGTTTGTCAAGTTGTCAGGAGCTGAGTACAATTCCATTAGAGAATTTCTGGGGAGGGGGGCAGTGGTCCAAGCCTCCGGAGCTCTGGTCTGCATTGTATTGCAGATGCTAGCTGATTTGCTATTGAATGGCATAGCCTCAGTGGAGAATGTCCCCTAGTTTTGCATCTCTACAGAACTAAGCATTTGAATAGGCCTGGACCAGGGCAGAGGGCTAGGTTGATGAGTGAGGAGGACCAAGGGTTAGGAGGTGTTGGTGGTGAGGTCTGGAGGGGTAGAGAATGTGGAGAGAGATGTGCTGATAAGGTCTAGGAAGATGGGAGAGAAATGGTCTTGGGATCAGGGAAGAATGGTTAGATTACAGCCAGGAAGATGCTGAATAAAGGAGAGACACCAGTTTTGCAGCATGGAACTGGGCACTCTCTAAAGATGACAAGATGCCTGTGTCTGGTCTTTTATCACTGTTGGGTTGCTAGGAATTCCCAAGTCCACACTCCCCCACTCAGGCCGAACTTCGTGGCTTCCGTTGATAGTTGAGGCAGACCATCTCAATTTTTGTCAGATTATTTCATCACAGCAACTGAAAAAGAAACTATTATAGTAGGTTTCTACTTAGGACTTCTAAGGAAACTCCCCAATTGTCTCTCAGAGCCACTGTTTTCCATGATTGATGTGTAAGAGTTCCAGTTGCTCCACACTATTGCCAACACATAGCACACACAGTCCTTTCAATTACAGCTGTTCTGATAGTTGTATGGTGGCATCTCATTGTATGTAGTTACATTTTATTTTATGTGTATGAGTATTTTAGGGGCACACCTATCCATGTACCATGGTATACTCGATGGCCCAAGAAAAAGGCAACAGATCCTCTAAAACCTCTCTGTGACTGCTGGGAATCAAACCCAGGTCCTCTACAAGAATGGCAAGTGCTCTTACCTGCTGAGCAGATTTCTTTGTAGAGTTTTATTCCACTATACAACTATACTTTTAAAACTAGTAATGAAATAGAACATCTTTAAATTTTTAAAATTTTTAAAATGATTCACCTGTTGTTTTAAGATTGGGTTGTTTTTAGCATTCTTTATCCTACAAACGGAACATCTGTGAGACATATTCTTTGCCACTGTCACCTGTTGTTTTTGTTGAAGTCTCATGCAGATCAGGAGCCTCATCCTGATTTCCAATATATCGATATATGAACTCTGATTTTTAATGGATTGTGCTTTTGGTGTAGCAGCTGAGAAGTCATTGTTCAGTCGCAGAGATTCTCCAAAGTTTTGTCTTGACATTTTTGTTTTTGTTTTTTAAGACAGAGTTTCATTGTGTAACAGCTCCGGCTGTCCTGGAACTCACTCTGTAGGCCAGGCTGCCTTGAACTCGCAGAGATCTGCCTGCCTCTGCCTCCTGAGTGCTGGGATTAAAGGTGTGCGCCGCCGCCACCACCCCCCAGCTGTCTTGACATTTTTGTTGTTTTGAGTTTTGTACTTTGATCCTCCATTTCTACAGAGGTGTAAGGTGTAGGTTGAAGTTCATTTTTCTTAGTGTGGATCTCCAGTGGGCTCAGCACCACCTGTTGAAAGATCAGCCTTTCCCAGTCGGTATGTCTTTGGACCTTCATTGAAAGTCACATGTATATGGTGACTGTTTATGGCCTTTGTTGGGTCCCATTGATATGCTGGCCAGTTTTGAGGACACTGCCACATTGCTTTGATGAGGGTAGCACTCTAGCTTTTTGGAAATGCACTTTTTGCTTTCTATACTTGTGTGGGTTTGTATGTGTAGGTATGTCTGTGGAGGCCAGAAGACAACTTTGACTGCTGTTCCTTAGGTGCTGTCTACTTTGATTTTTTTTTTTTTTTTTTTGAGATAGGGTCTCATTGGCCTGGGTCTCACCAAGTAGAGGAGGCAGGGTTGCCACCAAGCTCTAGGGATCTGACTGTTTCTGCCTCCTCAGTACACTACTACACCTACCTTTTTCATGAGCGCTCTGGGGACTGAACTCATGTTCTTATGCCTGTGCCACAGGTGCTTTGCTGACTGGCTATCTTCCTAGCTCTCTCTGTTACTTCTAAAGTAAGATGATTACCCCCCCCACACACACACACACCATCCAGGCGGGTCTCTCCACCCCATTCTTCCTCATCGCTGGCATGGCCCTTCTTTTAGGCACTTCTCTCCTGTCCCCCCACCCCCACCCCCACCCCACCAGAGAGGTGACCTCAGCATCCAGCCAGCCTTGTGTAAGGCTTCTATCATACCCTGAAGAGCCAATGTGACCACTTCCCTTACCTATTTGAGGTTCAGTAGCTTTGAAAGAAAATGAGGAGAGCTGAAGAATTGTCTGCTTCCCACTCACCCTTTCTCTCTTATTCACCGCCCAGCTCCCTTGCCTAGGGCTGGCTTAGAGAGATGACAGTCACCAGTGACACTGTGAGGAATGCTCACCAGGGGTTGGCGTTCTGTAAAGTGGTTTCCAGTAGAGTTTAGGCAACAGGGAGACTGTCCCCATTTTACAGATGCAGCAGTTGAGGGTCCTGGGACCCAGGGCTGCCTAGTCAGAAGCATGAGCCACATCTTCAGGTCCTGTGACTGCACATCTGGCTGACTTCCTTGTGTGTCTCCAGGACTAGTCTCAGACTGTCCTCTCTTGTTCGGCTCAGTAATTACTGTTTTCAGCTGTAGGGGCTCCTTGGTCTGGGCCTCATGGGAGGGAGGTAATTACATCCTTCCACATGCCCTTAGTCAGCAGCTCTCAGTCAGCCCCTGTGACCAAGCCCAGCACTGACCTCTGTCCCTCCCAGTCCAGGCCAGTGGATTGGAGATTGGTTGGACCCTCTTTGGCTCTGGTTGGCACATGTGGCCAGCCCTTCTCTTATAAAGCACTTATATAATCTGTTGGATTCAGACCCATAGGTGCCCTAGGGACAGAAGGTCAGTTTTCAATGGCTCTCTGCTAGCTTGACCCAGCTACTAGAAACATCATGTTCCTAACCCAGGGCTCCTAGGCCAAGCCTTCTTGTGGAAGGGGCAGCCCTGCCTGCATTACTCTATACTTGCCACCCCACCCTCCCAACCTGTGGGCCACCTGCAGCCAGACTTATCACAGCACTTGACTTTTTCACTCCTGTGCATGAACACAGCCCACATAAACATCTTAGAGGCCATTTACTGCTTTTACAGAAAAGTCAGACTCCTCATCAGATCAGCTGTACCTGCTATCTAGCTTCCTACTGTAGTCTTGTACTTAGCCTTCACCCTGTCCAGTGGTTGCCTCTACAGGGGCAAGACTGGTGTCATGTGTACCTGTTTGAGTGTATTTCAAGCAGGTTCCCTTCCTTGAGAGCTGCTGCTGGGAGAACTCTGGGGTCTATTGGATGCAAGGTCTCTCTTCCAGCTGGGAAGCCTTGGCCTTCCTTGGAGGACCTCCTTGCTTCTTGGGAGCTGGGACAGGACAGTGGTACTTTGATTTCTTGGTCTCTGGTGTCTGGGGGAGGAATGAACTTGAGAGTGTCTGCCAGCAAACTTGAACTCCCAAGGAGCTGCTGGTGGTTGGACATGGGAGACAGCAGTCCAAACCTACTTCACTGACACCTTCTGTCCCTTCTTTGCCATGGCAGGTCACTGGATGGCCGGCTGCAAGTGTCCCATCGGAAGGGGCTTCCCCATGTTATCTACTGCCGCCTGTGGCGATGGCCTGACCTGCACAGTCACCATGAGTTACGGGCCATGGAGCTATGTGAGTTTGCCTTTAACATGAAGAAGGACGAAGTGTGCGTCAATCCGTACCACTATCAGAGAGTAGAGACACCAGGTATGTGTGTGCAGGCTTGCCTTCCCCATCCCACTGACTCTGGAGGGTCTAAAGTGCCACTGGGACTGTGACTTCGGTCCCCTGGCACTGACCCACCTCTGTTGTGTCTCCCTTGGGGACAGTTCTACCTCCAGTGTTGGTGCCACGCCACACCGAGATCCCGGCCGAGTTCCCCCCGCTGGATGACTACAGCCATTCCATCCCTGAGAACACTAACTTCCCCGCTGGCATTGAGCCCCAAAGCAATATTCCAGGTAGGCATGGGTGGCAGCACAGGCAGCCAGGAGGCAGGGATGATGCCATTTCCCCATCCTCTCCATGTCGTTGTTCATGCAGCAGGCTCGTGGGCCCTGATTCTGAACCACATCCCAGCCGGGAACCATTGGTGGCCCAAGCTCCCCTAACGATGTTTTTCTTGGCATGAAGGACCCTGTGACCCTTCTGCGGGGCCTCAGTGCCGTCATTTATTTTCAAAGCGGAAATAGCAACACTGTGTTTCTGCTCTCCCTCCCAGCCCATAGGGCTGGCACACAGGCGGGGTCCCTGAAGGGGAGGGGCTGCAGAGCATGGGGTGAGGAGTACCCTGAGCTTTGGACTGGGCATAGTGGAGCTGAGGCAGTAGATAGAATGGATTTCATTGTCACTGTGCCAGTGCTTCTAGAAGCCCCTCATTTACATGCAAATAATGTGTGAATCACTGCCAGGCACTCTGGGCATCCAGGGAAGCTGTGCTTGGCCACGCTAGGGCCAGTCAGGGCAATTTTTGCTTTCGGGGCAGTGATCCAGCTGTGTTCCTTTTAGAGCGTTCTAATTTGGATGTGGCTTTCGCTTTCTGGGTTGGCTTACTGGGCTGAGGTTAGCTGTGGCCCGTGTCTTGGGTCAGGACGCATGCACGCTGAGGCCAGCTGTCTGGCTTCTCAGATACTCACAGGTAGTACTGGGCTCTTGGGGGGTGGGGGGGGGGGTAAGCTGTCTGCTCTCTGTCAGATGGCAGACTTTGGAGGGCTAAGGCAGGGTGGGAGGGTGAAGTACAGTTCCAAGAAACGGCTCATGAGTGTGCCACCACTGAATGGCAACTTCACTAGGGAGTTAAGCCACATCCCCTAGAGACGACAGTGACAAGAGCAGCCGATCTGTACAGGGACAGGCTCAAGGCCACAGCTCCTCAGGGGGCAGAGATGGTAAGGCAGGCATGTCCTAAAGCCTCCCTTCTTAACCTGACCTTGAAGGATGGGGACAAGCCAGCTAAGCTGTAGTCCTAGAGCAAGGCATTTCAGAGTTAGGAGTCAGTGTGTTAGGATCCAGGTTAGGAGCCAGAAGGCAACACTGGACAAGTCTGAGCATGGCCGAGGCCAGGAGCTGATACCTTCCCTTAAGGCCCAGGTTCCTTCTAGGCACCCTGTACTTGGTGGTGGAATGAATGCAGGATATATTGGCCAACAAATGGAATGTCAGGGCCAGGCCTTGCATTTCTTTTAATGGAGCTGCCTGCCTTCTCATCTCCAGAAACCCCACCCCCTGGCTACCTGAGTGAAGATGGAGAAACTAGTGACCACCAGATGAGCCACAGCATGGATGCAGGTCAGTAGTGTGTGCATTCCTGCAGACCTGTTCTCCCCCGCTTCTGTCTCCCTGCTTTCCTGTCTGGCTAGTGTCTACAGAGTATCCCCCGTGTGCCTCGTACATCACTGGTGGAAGGAACTCTGTGCCATAGGGACACAAAGTGGTTTTACTGGCAGTGTAGCCTGTCCCAGATGTTGAGGTGTTAGACCATCGGGTTGGCAGAGGGTAGAAGGTGGTTCCCACACTCAGCGCAGTACAGGTGAACAGGGAGGGGAACCTGCATGGAGGAATGGCCTTTGCTGGTGGCCAGCAAAGATACCAGAAGCAACTTTTTTTTTCTTTTTCTTTTTTTCCAAATGTAGTGGCCAACTGTGATCAGCGTGCCCCTGCTGGGAGGGACTGGCCCTAGTTTTCTCCTGCTATGTTCCCAGATGTTTCTTGTGTCATATGTTATGGGACCAAATTGGTTCCAAACCAGCAGCTTCTAGGATAGAGCCCCAGCTGCCACACAGGACCTGTTCTATAATGTGTGGTGGGTGAGGAGGGAGAAAAGGGCCCAGCAGATGTTCCGTTCCCACGGTGGCGGGCTGCCTCACGCACAGACCACAAGAGGTTACACAATTCACAGAAGGGTGAAAAAGGATCACACGGGGGAGAAGCGTAGTCACAGGGGTGTTGTGCTTTTAGGTCAAGCACACCCCCAAAACACACCCATCCAGGCATGTGGCTGGCAGCATGGACCCAGCTGGAATGCATGGAAGACCTTCCTGTACTCAGTGCCAAGTGGCCACTGCAAACTTGCAGCTATGCACGGAGTGCTGGCATGGGAAGTGAGCCAGCTAGGCAGCCTCCCTCCAGCTGCAGAGCGTGGCTCAGCTCCCCCCCCCCCCCATATGACTGTTATAAACAAAATCAGAGTGGCCTGTATGTGGGAAGGACTAGTCATGCATGCTTTCACTGACTCTAGTCTGCTTGCACCTTTCCTTTTCTTGTACCGTACCCCCCTCCTGTATCTCTCTCTCCCCAACAGAACTCTTTGGGGCCAGGGTTTGTGTATCCAGCCAACCTGGGCGTGGATTGGTGATGGTCTCTCTTTCTTCTTTGGTTTTCCTCAAAGTAGAAGCCACTAAAGGCTGATTGTGAAGCCCCAGCTTCGGGGATGAGGCAGAAAAACTAGCTTTGAATTTTGGTGTCTTAGGTCTGAGGGTCACCCAAGTCACCCTCAGGTCTTTCCTGGCAGCACGTGTATGTACCCTTTCAGAATAACCTTTGACCTTCATGATTTGAGCTGCCATAAAACAGGAAACAACTATTAAAGGTTTTCTGTATGCCAATTCCCTAGCACTGATTTTTTTTCAAAAATGTAACCATCTGTTTTGACTTATATAGGTCAATAGATGATTATTCCCTACTTCAAACCAGGAGAACATTAAGGCCCAGTAATGTAGCATATTTTTACCAAAACCACAGCCAGAGTCATGGCTGATATGTGACAAGCTGTCCACTCCCCCTTTTGGCCTCCAGGATTACTCTTTATCTCCATTGGGCCAGGTGCTGCCACTGGGGAGAAGAGAGAGCGTCTCAGAGTTCAGAGCTCTGTTGGGGTGAAATAGAAGAGCCCCAGGGACAGCTCAAGGCAGCTTCAGGGCTCAGCCTCAAGGTCTCATGGATGTCAGGGGTGGGACCAGGCTGTAAGACATTCATAAATAAATAACTGAACTCCAACGCACATGGGAACAAAGGAGGATAGGATGGGGCCCATGGAAAGGCAGCCACTGGCTTCTTTGAGAGAGAGAGAGAGAGAGAGAGAGAGAGAGAGAGAGAGAGAGAGAGAGAGAGAGAGAGAGAGAGTTTTCTGGGTAGCCAGCGGTAGAGAGAAGATCAGAGTATGAATTAGGTAGAATTAGACTTCTCCACGTGTCATCTCAAGTTATCAAGTCAGTTGCTGAGTTGCAGGATTTCTGAGGCAGATCTGTGAGTTTCCTGAGGTGATTCTAAGTACCTTAGAGATAGACTGTGAGTTGGGGATGAAGGGAGGAAGGGAAAGAGGGAGGGAGGGAGGTCACTCCTCCACAGCACAGGGTTGTGCAGCACAGGGATGGGTCTCCTTACCCTTTTATTTCCTCAGGAATCGTTAGCCTTTCCTGAGGGCAGGTGTGTGAACTGGCCTAGCTGAGCCCACCACAGCCTGTGCTGAAGCCTTCATAAGGTGCTTGGGAGGCCCTCTAAGGCTAGCTATTCAATCCATCCGTTCCATAGATAGGACAACATGCCTAGATGTGTAGTGGGGAGTGTATATGGTCAGGCCAAGACTGGGCTGCTCCTGGGACTCAAGCCTTGACCCAGGGCTTCCTGATGGCATGGTGAGTGATCCTGTCTTGGTTGTAGAATACTCCACCATCTTACAACTGTGTCTCACCTTGCAGGCTCTCCAAACCTATCCCCGAATCCGATGTCCCCAGCACACAATAACTTGGGTGAGTATTCATCTGTAAGGTGGGGACAGCCCTACTACTGGCTGTAGCTCAGCCGACTGCCTCAGTGGGAAGGGACAGTGAAGGTGAGCCCTGCCCCCTCCTTCACCACCAACCCAGCTTAACCCATGGGGTTTCTGGTTACAGTGATCCTGGGGTCACCTCAGAACAGGGAAACCCGAGATCAGTGATGTCAGGAAAGACAGCCTATGCTGGGGTTTGTGTTTCCCCTGGGCAGCATTCAGACGTGAGTGAACGAAATCTCCCAGACCTCAGGCCCAGGAGACAGGGGCCTCAGTCAGCCAAACACATGTGTGTGGCTTGGGGCAAAGCCACAGGCAGCTGCCCAGACTCAGCCCCCGGCTCCCAGAAGCTTGTGTCAGACACACGTTGGGATTTCAGCTGAGGATATCATCTCATAATAACTTGTTATTTAAGCAGCAACATATAAGGACTTGGGGGAGAAAGCAATGTGCCCACAATTGCATTGCCAAGCACAAATGTTTTACCATGGTCTGTCTGGTGCTTGTGACACGTGTGTCGTGCCACTGAAACCATGGCCCGTCTGCCTTTCCCGTTCACTGCATCTGGCACTCTGAAAATGTGTTTCTCTATTTGGATGTCTTGATTATCACAGTATTATCTCACGATGTTTGTATCAGCTGACCTCCACTGTTCCCACAACAATGTTCAGCTGTAGAACTGCAGGTCAGCGTTCTGAGGGTCACCCTGCCAGCCTGCTAGCCTCCCACCAGCGTGGGAGAGGGAGGCTCAGCAGGAGTCCTTGGGGCTAGAAATGGCCCGACGGGCTCAAAACAGATGAGATGTCCGTGTTTTTATCAAAGGTAGCTTTTGACAGTCTGGTCTGTAGTTTGGGTTCATGGGGCGTGGGCGGGGGTGGGGGTAGGGGGCTAAGGCTGGCACTTGCTTTGTGGTTCAGGAAAATCGGTTCATCATGGAGAAAAACTGGAGCAGAGTATGTTGGATAGGCTGCTGTGCCCATTTGTTTTAAGACCTTGGCAGATAGCATTAGCTAAAACTCAGCATGTGGAATATTGGGAGGGAAGGGAAGAGCCTTTGTAATGGGCCGACTTGTGGGCGGAGCAAAACATGACTTTGAGATACAGTTTAAATTTTTGTAGCATAATATCAAGGGGCTTGGCTGAGGGAAGGTCACATTCCTGATAGTGGAGGGACTGTGTTACTGAAAACAAACTAAGACGAGAAGCCACTAAAGGCTGATTGTGAAGCCCCAGCTTCGGGGATGAGGGCTTTAGATTTATTTTTGGAGTCATTTCACCTTCCTGTGTTCAGGCAGGTGCCACTGCGAAAGCCAGCAAGGTCACAGGCATTTGAAAGTGGCAGCAGCCTGGGGCAGAATTTTCTGACTTAGGATCCCTCACATGCTTTCAAATCTTAGACCTGGGGTGAAGACTGGGAGGGGATGAGCAAAGAGCAGAGTAATGAATGACTGGCTGAGTGTTTCCTGGGATCTCTTCGTACTCCGAGGGCTGATCTTCATAGCCAGGGACAGAAGCCTGCTAACTTTTCACGTCACAGGTTAGGAGAGCCTGTGCTCATCTCAGCCGCACAGTTGTCCGGCAGAAAAACTAGCTTTGAGTTTTGGCTTCCTCAATCCAAACCATGTATAGATAGATGTCTAGAACAGTGGTCCTCAATGTTTCTAATGCTGTGGCCCTTTAGTACAGTTCCTCATGCTGTAGCGACCCCCAACCGTAAAATTATTTTCGTTTCTGCTTTATAACTGCAATTTTACTAGTTATGAATTGTAAATATTTGTGTTTCCCGATGGCCTTAGGCAGCTCCCATGGTAGGGTTATTTGACACCCTCCCCCACCCCAAAGGGATTGAGACCACTGGTCTAGAGCCATGCTGGGGAGAATACTTAGGCCTTCACAACCTAATCACGTTTGTATTTACCTGGGTGCTGGGGGAGCAAGCACAGACAAGGGGAAGCCATATGCAATGGGCTGGGCAGACTCAGCAGGCATGTAAGTGGGACCATGAAGGCCAGGAGGTTGAATGAGATGAGGGACATTGCAGATGGAAGAGCAGGTGTGCTCCAAGGAAGTCAGCGATGTGGCCATCAGCTGGCAGGAAGGGCAGGGGCAAGGTACGGCTGAGTTCTGAAGGCCACCTCACTCCACTCCCACCTCCAGCAGGAGGTTGCCAGTGTGCCAGAGGGGTTATGGTGAGATCCTCATGCAGTGTCACAGAGGTAATCTGGCCACTTGAATTTGATGAGTTATTAGAGGAAAACCAGAAAGAAACCTAAGTAGTTGGTGGCCATCCTGAAGGAAGCTAAGGTGAACAAACATACTAGAGAAATACGAAAGAAATACAAAGTGGCTGTGTGCACAGGACTGGGACCACGAGGAGGCCTGCCGTGATGAGGTGTGAGAGGCCTAGAGAGAAGTGACAGAGGTTGCTATGCCTTGAAACCTCCCTGGAAAGTCAGGGAGGCTGGGGCCCAAGGCATAAAGTTGCAACCACTGCTTCATGTTTGCTGTCGGTCCAAGGCATTGTTATAGAGCACACAGTGCTCAGAGTGAGTTCCAGGATAGCCAGGACTGTTTGACAGTCCAGAAAAAACAAAAAAAACAAAAAACAAAAATGAAGAAGAAGAAGGAAGAGAGAGAGAGACAGAGAAAGACCACAGCAAGCTTGGCTGACGTCATGTCATGGGAGTAGGTAGATTGGGTAGAGAGAAGGGCCTGACTCATTTGAGAGCCAGAGCCATAGGCTAGGGACAGAAGGCAAGGGCCTGAGACCTGGTGGAAGATAGGGTCATGGGCACAATAGCCAGAAGGTAGAGGCCCTGAAGGTCAGTGACAGCGGAGGAGACTTCTCAGGAGTGCAAGATGAGATGTTAGAAGAGCTGAGGCGTGGCACCAGGAGTTTGAGAACAGCCTGCACAGGGCAGTCAGAGTTGTGTGTGGTGCAGGATAGAGCAGCAATGGGCTGAAGGGCAGTGTGGAGATGAGAACACCGAGAGTGTTGCCTTAGTTAGGGTTACTAATGCTGTGATGAAACACCATGACCAAAAGGCAAATTGGGGGAAAAGGGCTTATTTGGCTTATAATTCCACATCATAGTCCATCATTGGAGGAAGTTAGGACAGAAACTCAAACAGGGCAGGAACCAGGAGGCAGGAGCTGATGGAGGGGCAGTGGCTACTTACTTGGCTTTCTCAGCCTGCTTTCTTAGAGAACCCAGGACCACCCTCTCAATGATGGCCCCACCCACAATGGGCTGGGCCCTCCCCATCAATCAACAATTAAGAACATGCCCTACAGGCTTGCCCACAGCCTCATCTTATGGAGGCATTTTTCTCAATTGAAGTTCTCTTCTCTCAGATGACTATAGCTTGTATCAAGTTGATGTAATTATAGCCAGCCCAGTGCTTTCTAGAAAAAGATGGTGACATCTCAAGATTACAGGTATGTCTTTTAAAGATCTTGTTAAGAAATTATTATGCAAAGAGAAAGTGTACAACATCGGGTTATCTTTCATTTTCTTCCGCACTCAGGCCCCAGCACAGGTCTGGGGAAGGCTGAGCTTCCTGCCACAGTGAAACTGCTTCTCTAAATCAGCAGTGCACTGCCCTGAGTGACGGAAGCCCAAAGGCATGACTGAGCCCCAGCAGGGCATGGAGCTTGGAGGCTAGCCCTGGTGAACCCCTGGGAACTTTGTTTTGCAGAGCAGGGACTGTGAGCTGGGCGTGTTTCTGTTCAAAATGTCTAAGTCAGGAAGATTGAGGAAAACAGAGGAAGAAGCAGCAGGTTAGGGAAAGGTGGCAGTTGAATCCCTCCCTCCTTCACAGTGACACCTGTAGGGTGTGGCTGGGCTGAGGAAACTGAGGTCCTTGTAAGAGCCCTGGGGCAGCAGAGAGCTGAGCCTGTTGTGGTAATGGCTTCCTGGAGTGCCTATGGCAGGGAGAGCCTTCCTCTGCTGGGACAGGACTGGGCTGGGTGGCAGGAGCAAAAGACTCCTGGAATGAAGAGAAGCCGGCTGAATCCATGCTGCCAGACACAGTACCTTTTAAAGGCTATCTGTAGCTGCAGCCTTCAGTAGGCTTGTGAAAACACAGGCAGGGGCTTAGGTAAGTGACTTACTGGGTACAGCTGTGCAAGCTGAGGATCTGAGTTCAGACCCCAGGAACCATGGAATAGCGAGTATCTATGATCCTAGCAATCATGCAGCAAGATGGGATGTGGGGACATGAGACTCCTGGAAGCTCGTGGGCCAGCTGAGCAGGGTGGAAGCTGGGAACTGACACCTGAGGTTGTCCCAAGGCACATGCAGCACGCACGCACGCACGCACGCACGCACTTAACATGGTGGAAGGAAGTCGACTGCCACAGGTGTTTGGTTTTCAGCCCCTGCTGTTTTCCTGATTCAGTAAACTGGTTGGAGGCCAGAGCAGCTTATACTCTTTCATTGTGTGTCCTAGCTCTCTGCCTCAACCTTAGAGGCATGCTGGAGTTAGGACCCAGATGCTGGGGCTACAGAGGGCCAACCCCTCTAGCACAGGATAAGGTAGGAGAAGGTGCCCAGGTGGCTGGGAATGAATTACTTTGCATTAAGGGAATGTCTCCTGTCACCTGAGGGTCAGGGTCATACCAATGGGGAAGGACACGCCAGTGAAAGCAAACAATTAAGGAAAAGACAGCCAGAAGGAATGTGGAGTTGGAGGGTAGAATCTTCAAGACTGAGGCAAGGTCATCCTCCACAGATATGGAGGGCCCAGACTAGCCAGGCCATCTCTGCTTTGACCTCAGGTTCTATGGTGCCCACTGTGCAGACCTTTGCCCACACAAGCCTGCCTCAGCTCAGGAGAAAGTTGACATGCCCCTCTGCTCCCCTTTGCTTCTGCTGACTGGAATCTTTTTGCACATGGTTTTAATAGGCACCCCTTAATCCGAGTGTCGCCTTCTGGGTTTTATTCTGTTTTCTTTTCCTTAAACAAAACAGAGAGTCTGTGCCAGCTTGGAACGGGGCTCAGAACTGAAGCCAGCCAATGCGTTAGGCTGGCCAGGGGCCAGTGGAGAACTGAGTGCCCCATGCCAGTGGAGAAGCCTGGCTGACACCATGCTGGTTGGAGGTGGGGGCCCTGATGGCAAGTGTGGAGGTTTCGTGTCTCCAACACCTCTGCTCTGGGAAGAGATTAGCAAGGACTGGGCAGGTTGGTGGGAGCTGGGCTGTGTGGAGTCAAGGTCTTTATTTCCAGATACTCCAGGTATCTGGAAACCTTGGGCTGGTAGAGCAAACCCATATTCCTTGGGGCATCATCCATGGACACCATCAAGTCTCCTGCAGTCTTGCTGTGATAGGGGCCTTTGAACATCAGATCTTCAGGACCTGTGTAAAGTACCTCTGCCCTTGTTGGAAAACCCTGGAACCTGAGGTGTGTTCACTCTAGAGGAATGGCACGGTGGCTGGAGCAGCTAAGCCCATGTTGGCTGATCTTGAAGCACAGTTTGTTCAAACCTTGGTAGATCAGGAAGTGGAGCATGGAACCAGAACTCAGGGCAGGCTGTAACCCTCAAGGCCTGCTTCCAGGGTCCTACATCTGCCAGCTTGGCTCGGTGTCACAAGGTTTCATAACCTCCTTAAACAACAGCACCAGCTAGGAACCAAGTATTCAGTTGTATCAGCCTATGGGGTACATTTCAGGACCAAACCTTAACAACTATGTTCCCTTTTTGTTTGATCTAGGAAGCTCAGAGTCGAGGAGAGTGCTGTCAGTAGCTGCCATCACATACACCAGTGACAGTCTTCTCTCTAGAGTCCTGACTTCTGCTAGAAAAAGATTTGTGTATGGGGGTGGGGGCTACCATTACAGGAAGAAATAGTAACTATACTTTTTGCTTTGCACCTGCTGTAGCTGAAGTGCCTGAAGGAAGCCTCCAGGGCTGGTAGTGGGAAGGTGCGGGGGTTGGGGGGGGGCACAGGACCCAAAGATGCGGCCTTGCAGAGAATCAAAAGCCGTGGAGGGGGCTACTCCAGTAAGCCCCTTTGTGAGCCAGAGAAGACAAGCACCCTTTGAAATGGCAGCTCTTGAGTTGTGCCCTGGTGCCATGACACAGGGCTGTGTCATGATGGCATGTGCATCTGAGTCCACTCTCCCTACTGTGCTGTTCAGGGTCCCTGGGGGGGGGGGGGGGGGGGAAGGAAGTGCACCCTTCCCCAGAACACTGTTCGTCCAGGTATGACAGATACCATGGGTGGTCTGCCAGCCTTTGTTTGGACTGGTGGTGTTGATGTTCCTGGGAACCTTAACACTAACTCTCCTGTGCCTGGGCTAGGCCCACAGAATTCTAGACAGGACTTTGAAATTTGGGGGTGAGGATTTTGTTAATACATATTACCGAGGAAGCCAAGGCTGACCTGGATCAGCCAAAGCTGTCACTTTAGGTTGAAACATGGCAGAAACAGTGACTAAGATGGCCAGCTTCAGCTATCTTCTAGAACCAGTCTTGACATAGATGAGGAAACAGACCAGGGTAGAAGGTCATGTTCCCAGGGACACATTTCAAGGTAGGTAGAGCCTGTACCTGGGCAGTAGCAGCTAGCAGCACCGACAGGTCATCTGACCCATTTTAAACCTTGGCTAGCACTGGGCCTTTTTTTTTTTTTTTTTTTAAATGTCCAAAGCAGCATAGCTGACATTCTAGTGGCTAAATTGTTTAGAATCTAGCTTATCTCACTGGAATGTGGAAGCATGGAGCAAAGCCAGGCTATGTGGCTCAGACCAGCCTCAGGAGCCAGGGGCACAGGCCACAGCTGCTCCTGTCTCATCACTCCCCTTCTCTGCTTTGATCTTCTGCCTCCATCCCCTCGGCTTCTTGCTTAACCGTGAGAAGAGAGGGGGGGGGGGTGGTGGGAAGCTTTGCCTTTCTGCACCTGGAAGGTCAAGACAGGACCAGGGTGTTCCTAAGTTCATAGTCAAGGTTATCACTGTCAGTATGATATAATGCTTGCTGCATGCCCACATCTTACTTGAGTTAGCTCAGGGAATCCAACCATTCCAGTGGTATAGACGATGGGATGTACAGGCTGACACAGAGAGCATGAATGAATTACTCTATGATTTGGTTAAACAATAGAGGGCAATGGCTGTTGGTGGGGAGTACTTTCAAGCCCAGGAACACATCCGGTAGTGTCAGAACTTGGGAGGATGAGTAGGTATAAGTATGCTATTGGTATCCAGGTAGAGGCTGAGGATGCATTTGACCACCCCGTTATATCTGAACCTATCAATTTTCTCCCAAGCTGCCATCTGCCTTAGCTTAGGGTGTGCTGACCTTGGAGCTGGCTTTGGCAGTGTGTACTATGTGAAGATGGGGGCTGTGTCCCCACTTCACTCTTATAGGACCATCTGCTTGGACTGCAGGAGCTTGGGGCCACTATGTCACCAGGGGCCACCTGGGACCTTCCCTGTGGGCAGCACAGCATCTGCTGTTCTCTTTGGCTTGGGCACTCAAGAGAGAGTGAGCACAGGTCCCAGCAGCTCTCTACAAAGTTGCCTGGTGGGAAGTAGACAGGATTCTCAGGCCAGTGCCAAGCCATCCCTATTCCCTTCTCATGGGAGCCCGATGCAGAGGAGGAGTGGGGACTCTAGGACCTGACAGTCAAGTTGGATGGTCAGGATACTTAGCCTGCACAAAGAAACACAGAATCACCAGGCGGCTGCACGAATACTTGGGAGTATTCCAGAGTGAGGGTATAGATCTGAGATGGGTGACAGGGAGCAGGCGGTGGACTTGAAGCTCCTCCCCAAGGCCAGCAGGACAGCTACAGTGTGGAGGAGCATCTGGAGGCCATGCTGGGCACATGCAGTCCTATAGGAGGCTGTGATGTGATGAGGGGCTGTTTTAATTCCACATGGGTACTGAGACATGAAGTGGAAGGCTGGACCATGTGAGAGGACTCCTTTTTTAAGTCGTCCTCAGCTATCCTAGGAGAGAGTTGGCCTTCATGTGGCTAGTCTGCCCTGAGGAGCTCCCAGCTGAGAGGTTGTACAACCACAAAAAAAATCTGTTTCTTTGTGTCCCATTGTTCTAACAGCTATCAACTACATAAAAGATGGGCCAAGGTTTCTGTTGTGAGACACATGGCCCTTCCTGTTCCTGATTTCTGGTCTGCTTGTTCACACATGAAGTGCAGCTGAACTCACAAGGCCACTGTGGCCATGTCATTACACATGACAGATAACAAATTGCTCCTCAGGCCGAATGACACCAAAATAAAGGCCCTTTGGGAGGCAGAGGTTGACATGGGCTCCTTTGAGAATCTCAGAAGAGAGGCTGGGAGGTGACTTTGTAGATGGCATGACTTCATACCACATCTAGAGCATACTTAGGGCTGCTCACAGTGCTGGCCCTGGTGCTGGCTGGTCCTGACCCATTTCATGTTTGGGCTAGCCTGTCTCTAAAGGCTGCTTCTGTTCATAGGAAGGGTAGACTCTACGGAGCAGGGTATGTGTGGGCTCCGAAGAAATGGACTTGGTTTGCTTCCCTTAGAGGCTGGCAGGGTCTCCCTCAGACTCTGAGGATCTCACTTGCTGGTACCCTGAAGGGTTTGTGCAATGGAAGTTGGGGTCAGGGATCAAAGGATGAGAGCTTTCAGAGCTTCCCTGGGTACCCACTGACCTGGCATACTCTGTTTCTGCAGACCTACAGCCAGTGACCTACTGTGAGCCAGCCTTCTGGTGCTCCATCTCCTACTACGAGCTGAACCAGCGAGTTGGGGAGACATTCCACGCCTCACAGCCATCCATGACAGTAGATGGCTTCACCGATCCCTCCAACTCAGAGCGCTTCTGCCTGGGCCTGCTGTCCAATGTCAATCGGAATGCAGCTGTGGAACTTACTAGACGGCACATTGGTAATGAGTCACCCCACCCCCACTGCTGCCTCCTGGGGGCACTGAGACTCCCTAGCACCAAGTACTGTTGGACCCAGATGAGAGGAGGTGGGAGTGTGGGGTACAGCTGCAGTAAGGGTCTGGACAGGCAGTGTGTAGATGTCACCTGGTCCTACAAGGCTCCAGTCTTCAAGTTGAGCTGTTTTCTTGCACTCTGGGACTCCTAAGCATAAGGGGACATCCCCATTGGGAAGAGCTCAATGTTTACATAACCTCTGGAGTGCTGAGCCAATTGAAAATTAATTTCTGTCCATCTGGAGTAGATTTAGGTGATGAAGGAAAGCAAGAGTTGCACTAGGAAACCATGCGCAGGGAGGTCCCTTTGGCAAGGGGCCAGAGGGCTGATGCCTCAGTAGCACCCTGGCATCACCAAGGCACTTCTGTGACTTTTGGGGGGGAGGTGGAGCTAGAGCAGTGGGGCGGCAGCAGCTGTCCCTCACCAGGCACCATTGCAGTCGTCACTAAGGTAGGTTATTATGGCTGTCCTCTAGACAGCTCAGGTCTGGGTAGTGGTAGAAGCTGGGTCCAGGCTCCTTCGTGTGCCACCTATTCCAACTGCTTTAGGAATTCAGAGCTGCCCACCATTCTCCCACTTGGCTTTGGGCTGGGCTCTAGGCTCCTCTTGTTTGGAGTAGCCACTTGCAGCTCTGTCTGCTGCCCCTCCCCAGCTTGCCTTGTTGCCATGTGGGGTGGTCTTTCTGACCCTGTGTCTCATGACTCCCTAGGGAGAGGCGTGCGGCTCTACTACATTGGAGGGGAGGTCTTTGCAGAGTGTCTCAGTGACAGTGCTATTTTTGTTCAGTCACCCAACTGCAACCAGCGCTATGGCTGGCACCCTGCCACCGTCTGCAAGATCCCTCCAGGTAAGCCCCTGAAGTGCGGCCCTGGGGTCACCACCCGAGGCATGCCTGGGAAGGCTTCCTTGCCTTTCCTCCACACTGGTGTCCACACTGTACCTGTATAGACTCTTGTGTACCACTGAAGCTCATGAGAACAGAGGTAGCATCTAACAAATCTGTAACCCAGGGCATGGCCCTTCACCCACCAGTGTGAGGTGATCCCTTTCCTTTACTCACTCCTCCAAACAGAAGAGTATTTGGGGGTCTGTGACAGGAACTGGGGCAGGATGGGGAAGGTGCCCCTTCTGTACTCACAGCTTTACAGTGTTTAAGATGAAGACAGATGAGTGTTGACACACAGAGGGCTGTAAATCCCAGGCAAGCAGCTGATGGGGAGAAAGGGCATGTACTTGTGGGATGGATGATCAGGGAGGACACCCTGGAGGAGACATTAAGTGACAGGAGATGGTGGGGTGAAGTTTCTGAGGGCATGTGGCAGGGAGGACACTGAAACAAGGGTATAGAAGAAATGCAGGGTTGGACACTGGCTGGATGTACCATATAAAAGTTAGATGTTTAAAAGGCATTCTGGGCCTGGGATGAAGTGATAGTTTGGGTTTTATTCTGGGGAGTTGAGGGTTTTCTGAGGATGTCTCATGGGTCCCAAGAACTTGTGGGCTGGACCCCACCAAGGAGGAAAGCCAAAGTACTCCTCATATAGCAGGTGGCCTGTGTCAGGCCATTGCCTGGGACACACGTAGCTAGCTCCTCTTCCCATTTGTTGCTTAGTAGGGGACAATGGAGTAGTGGGCTGCGGGCAGAGTAAACCAAAGAACTCAGACAATCTCAGCCAGGAATGGATCTCTGCTCTGGCAGCTTTTGTGGTTTTATTTACAAAGTTCACATCTCTGAGCTCACACTTCCTCTCTAGCAACCCCTGTGGCTCTAAGAAAGGCTAGGGAAAGAATTCAGAATGAGCCACACTTACTTCTCCAAGTCCAAGAGCTGGGAAGAAGCCACAGTAGGCCTGAGCCGTGGAGAGCTGGCTGACTAGCCTGGTGTTCAGTCTTTTGGCTCAGCTAGGGCTGTAGCCCCAGGAGTGGGTGTGGTCTGTGCTTTGGTCTACCCACCTTCCCAGGAGCATGCAGGGATGGAGGTGGAGGGGTGGTATTCCTAGCTTCTGCCTTTCTGCTCCACCTCCCTCCCTGGTGAAGGCTGAGTATCTCTGGTTGTATCATGTCAGCTTAGAGTCTGTCAGGGCCCTGACGATCAATCCCCCTCCCCCTTTTAAAGGGGACACAGGATCACCAGAAGAGGCAGGGCAGAGTCCACAGCTGATAGGGTCTGTGCTGGTTCTCTAGTTCCTGGGCATGGACTTTAGCCTTTATTTTCTGGGTCTTGCTCTCCTGGCACCTGGGCAGTAGGACTTCAAACAAGGTTTATTTTCCATGTTATTTGTGCCCATCTCCAGCTGCATTCTGGAGAATTGGGTACATTGTTGTTGATGTCACTGTGGCCCAAGCTTGAATCAAGACATCACTATGTGACCCAGCTCTCTTCCTTAGCCCCAACATGAGGCAGGGCCATCAGAGGAGCCAGGTGGAGGATGCTTCTGACTCTCGCAGTAGGCCCCATACCCACCTCACTGCACCGATGAGGGAGCACCTGTCCCCAGGTGGCTACCACACCATAAGGCATTGGCAGCTAGGCTCAGGTCCCTTGCCTCTCTGAACCCTAGAGTCCTGCCTCAGCCTCTCCAGAAGATCCCTGCGTCATCCAAGTCCACTTCCAGGCTTCCTTCTTAGCATTTGACATCCCCACAGCTGGAGGATGTGGGCCAGCCTTTAGTGTCCCTTGTACATGCTTCTCCCTGCAAGGGTGTACCAATCAAGTGTAGGAATGGGGAAGCCCCCTCCTTGCATAGGGATGAACAGAGCAGGGAGCCACTGAGTGGAACCACTATGTGCCACCTGAGGCGTGTGAATCAGGCCATTTGGGCATTTCCAGGGTGCTTTATCTGACTATCTGTGGTTGGCAGGCTGCAACCTGAAGATCTTCAACAACCAGGAATTTGCTGCCCTCCTGGCCCAGTCTGTCAACCAGGGCTTTGAGGCTGTCTACCAGTTGACTCGCATGTGCACCATCCGTATGAGCTTCGTCAAAGGCTGGGGAGCGGAGTACAGGTCAGTGACTAAGGAGCTCTTGGCAGGTGGTGGGGAGGAGCCAACTCCAGGCAACTGGCCTAGGTCCCTCGGGGACCAGGGAAAGCAGGTATGGTGGCCAGGTATAGCAGCATGGTCTTTGCCTGGTGCTCAGCAGTTCTTAAGCTTGGTCAGCATCTCCAGGCCCAGCGTGGGGACATTGGCATTATTCTTTCTCTGCTAAAGCCTAGGGAGGGAAAAGAACATGCATGAAGTTAAGTGGAAGAGACGTTCCATCCTGGCCTCTCCTGGCTGCCGCTGTGTTTTCTGTCTCTCTGGGGACAGACTCTCAGGGTGACTGTCTCCCTGACACTACCACTGGCTCCATCACTAGTAAACTCAACAAAGGAGATGTGAGTGTTTATAAAGGATTTCAGTTAGCACTTTAAATATAGCACCAGTAATACCCAGGCCTACCTGGTCTGCTCAATTGAGGCCCTCAGACGGTCTAGACTGGGTTTAATGAGAATCTAGTCTCCTTTCTCCATATTGGACAGGAGCGTTCTGGGAGGCAGGGCTACATGCCCTTCTGCTCCATCCCTCCTCCCTAGCCCCCAGAGCAGACAGACATAGAGGTACCCACACATCAGCTGCAGCCAGCGCCTTGCGAGTTCCTCGCCCCTTCTCTTCATTTTTCCAGATGTTTGGAATCAATTTTGTTTTGCAGTCATTCTGCACCCTAGCCAAACCCATTTCAATATTGGCTCTGGGCCACCATTCGTAATGAAATCCCGATGAGCATGACTTATGGAAAGTCGTATTCTCAGCCGAGGATGGAGGTCTGTAAAGCCCAGCTTCTCCATTAAGATCTTAGAGCTGCTGTTCTTTCGTGGATGCCTCATGGTGCCAGGGAGCAAAGCACTTTGGGACCTTTAATCTGAAATCCAGGGAGGGTGACCAAGCAAGCAACCCAAGTGGTCAGACTGCGGAAGAGCCTTCAGCCATGTTATGATGACCCGGCCCAAAGGTCTGGCTGGAGAAATGCCGGAGCCAACCTTTAGTTCAGGATTTAGATCATTTAGGGAATGAGAGTGAAAGGTTAGAAAATTAATTTGTTAGTGCAAAAACCCCAAAGGAAAAGAACTGGAAGGCCCACTGCCTTCAGGCAGACACCCCAGGCTGAGCGTGAGCCTCCCTATTCAGGCAAAGCCCATGATGATCAGGGAGGGTCAGGATAATGGCCCTGGATGTGTTGGCAGAAGCCCCTCTCTAGGGCAGTGTATCACCATGCAGGATACCCTGCCAGCACACCCCGTCCTACACAGCTTACTGCGTCACTGCCGCCTGGCAGCATGGCATAGCAGCCTAGTGGCGGGGGGGGGGCCCCCCCCCCACAGCCATGCCCTCCTGCAATGTGGGCCAAACAGAGTAAGGTTTCAGGCTAGTTTTCTAAAGCAGCTGTAAGTGGGCCTGCGGCCCAGGTCTCACCTCCAGCTGGCACCCGCATGTCGCCACAGCAGATAGCCTTTGCTCACTGGAGGCTTCTGGGAGCTTGCCTGCAAGCTGCGTCACCAAGTAGTCTGAATTTAGACAAAGTGCTTTGGAGGCAAAGAAATGTGTGGTGTGCCTTGGTTTTTCCAGTAATTGTTCCCCCGCTAGTTCTGCTGGTAAGATTTTCCAAAATAAGCTGTAGATGGGATTATAACAGCTCACTGGGACCTGAAGCATGTGGGCTCTGTCAGTGCTTTGTAAAAACACTCTCCATCAGACAGACATGTCGTGAAAACTGTGGGGCTGACCCAGATCTGGAGAAGGGCTGCAGGTACCTACCCATTGGCAGAGCTGGGAGCCAGGGAGACCTTCATTCTGGCAGGTCACACATGGGGGAACTGACCTTCTTTCTTTAACTCTTTGAGGCCATCTCCCTTCCGCAGTACCTGACTTACTCAAAGCCCTCCTCGACTGGAAGAGTATGGCCTGGTTTGGTCTCATTACTGGTACACCTCTAGGCAGTATCTAGCATGAAGACAGTTCTGGCTTGAAGTGGCTCTGACATGTGTGTCCTTCTGGACATTTTCAAGTCTCCCACCTCTTCCCTCTTTCTGCAGGAGACAGACAGTGACCAGTACCCCCTGCTGGATCGAGCTGCACCTGAATGGGCCCTTGCAGTGGCTTGACAAGGTCCTCACCCAGATGGGCTCCCCCAGCATTCGCTGTTCCAGTGTGTCTTAGAGATACTAGGAGTGAAGGGCGTGGGTGGGGGAGGGTGGGCTTGGGGAAAATGGCCTTGGAAGAGAACTCCATCCAACTTGTTCTTGTCAAAGACAACAAATTTCTCTCAACTAAGGCACCAACCTGTTTCTGAAACCACACACACACACAATCCCAGGGATGATTTATGAACAGCTGTGTCTGCTGCAGTCACGTGCCCCAGTTTGAGGCCCAAATAATGGCTTCTGATCTGGTGGCTTGAGCTAACAGGTGGTGTGCTGCCATCTGACTCCTTGTTTAATGACAGAGATCTGGGATGTGACCATCTAAAAAGGAAAGTGCGTTTCTCAAGGCCTGGAGTGTGGAAGAGTGCCCTAGATTCCTGTAGCTGTGGATAAAAACACCAACGGAGCATGTCCTGCCCCACCACTTTCACAGAGAGGGGGGTACCTGGTGAACTGGATGGCCTGCACCGACCGGCATTTTCCTGCCCTCAGAATGCACAGGAACATGCCAGTGGGTAAAGCTGTTGAGAGCCATGTCTTCATTGTTCCTTCTCCCTTGCAAGGACCTGCTGAAGCTCAGTGTATATGGGACATATAGCTCTTATTATCACATTACTCTTAAAGAGACTTGGTGTTGTCCAGGTGCTCACAGAAAGCAAAGTGAGTGCATGTCCAGGCGAGGTGACACCTTATTCTGATGCATATGCTGTGTTGGTTTATGGAGCCAGCTGCGTTAATGAATTCACCTAGCATGGGTTCTTGGAAATGTCTTTTGTTTTACAAAAACAATCCTGGGTACGTACATTGGCTGGAAGACCAGAGTGGACCCAGCAACTGCTGCTTGCCCTGAGGTTTGGAAACAGATTTACAGAAGCCAGTTCACCAGAAGGTAAGACATCCGAGGCCGACATGGGCAAATGAAAAGGGCTATTACAATTTTTTTACACCTTGGGAAATTGCAGGCTTGGTGCAGAGAGGCCTGTCATCTTCACTCTGGGATGTAAGATTACCCAGCTTTGGTAAAAGACTGCCACCGAAAACTGCTGCAGTGATACTGTGTAATGAGCACCGTGCCCAGTGGCAATTACAGAGAAAACGAGTATAAATTATTTCAACTGGAAAAAAAAAAAGTCCCTTTCCCGGCTTTTTTAGAACACAGCACATGGGATCGCCACCTGCAATTGGTACTTCTTGGCTGCTGTTTCTGTTGTGAAATGACTATCCCATGTCTTTGCATCGATTTCCTGCCGAAGTCCTGTCCTGTTCCAGAAGGGAAGAAAGTGCACCCTCCAATGTGATGAATTTTCTGATGCTCCAGAGACTCAGGGGCACATTCTGGTGCCTCTCCTGCAGGATCCTGTGGCCTCTGAAGTGCTGGGAAGGATGTTTCCAGTTGGGCATGCTGTGTTCCCCAAGTCTCCTTTAGATACAAGAAGCCTGTGAGCATCTTCCCCAAGGCTGTTGCTACAGAACCCAAAGGCAGTTCTGAATGCCTACCATCCTCTGAGGGCACAGACAGAGGATGTGAACATTGTGCCAGCTTGAAATGGTCTGTGGACTGCTGCTTCTTCAGACACAGGAAGTCCGTGGAACTGCTTGTATGTCACCCATGCTCTGAGTCAGGTCCAGCACAAGGATGTTCTGATGTGATTTCTACTGAAACTATTGGTGATGGCTCGTGGGGACCTGCCTTATCCATTTGTTGCCTAGTTTCCTAGGGGCTTCCTGTGGCCCATCGTCATCCCCCAGGAGCCTGGAGAAGAGCTCCATACACCCAATGGGAGTCACCCAACAGCCCATTCTGTATCTGGGAAATGCACGAGAACCTGCAGTGCTTAGCTGATGGCTACTCTTGGGAGGCACGAAGTTATCTTTTTTTTTCCTCTCTTCTTGCCAAAGGTTGTTACTTCCTTGGCTCCTTTGCTTTACTGGCCAGTTGCTGGAGAAGGATGTACAAGGGAATTCTAGGCAGGTCTACTCTTGGCATCCCTGAAAATAAAAGGCTTGGAATCTAAAGAATGCCACTCCATGGTGGAGAACACAGGTCCTTTGGGTATGTGTAATCTAAGTGTCCTCCTGAGTTAGTTTTCCATCTTGTCTTGTATGAACAGCATTTGTACTTCTGCTAAAAAAAAACAGTTGGAAATCAAGAGGAAAGCAGTGAAGCTGCCACTGTGGCCTTTGAAGTGTGTGGTTCCTTTAGGTGACCTGACTGCATGTGCTGTGCCAGCCTCAGGCTTCTGCTGACACTGACCCACATGGCTGGTGCTGGGCAGAAATCCTTCAACATCCTGGAGAAGCTAACTTTGTACCCCTCGCCTCCCCAACTTAACTTAGTGCATGTGGATTGCAGGCCTGTGCTGGCATGTCATCACAGCCGGCCACCTTCCAGGGGTTCTGTAGAAGCCCTGGCATTTTGAGAAAGGCCTGGAGTGGAGAGCAGGGACTCTCTTAGGAAGAACCAGGACTCTCTTAGCAAGGCTGCTGGCAGACTTCTCCACTGTCCTGAGAGTGTGTTGTATTATTTTTATTGTCCGTGACATTTTTTTTTTTACTCGTTAATGTATTGAGCCACAGTGCTTACGGGGCGTTGTGGTCTTGCTCTTCCCCAACTTGCTTTTCAGAATGGGGATATATTCCAGGGCTTGATGTTTTCACTGAAACCACAAAGGTTTTCTTTAATAGTGTGTGTGGTCACGCATGTGCCTGAGCTGTCTGGTGCAGAGGTGAGTATCTGACTTCATTCTTAGCCCCAAGCTGCCATTTCCAAGGTTTTCTTTGTTATTTACGTCCTTGAGAGGCTGGAAAACTACCTGCACCAGAAGGGACACAGCTCCAGCTCTGCACTGAATATCTTACTGTGTGTGCCCTTTACATTAACAGGAACCTGGTCAGAGCTCACTTACATTTCCTGGGAGTGGCATCAGTGTTCCATCATCGGCCTGTTTAAGTAACAGTCTTCACAGTGCTCAGCAACTTCCCAAGTGGGTAGAAAGCCACACCCCAGGATGGGGGTCAAACACAAAGATGTGGCATGGCTGACAGGAGGTACTGGATGGAGGGGAACATGCTTCAGCATGGCTATCACCTTTGAAACGGCCCCTGCAGTTGGCTGGTGTTAACACAAAAGTGATGTTTAGCATTCTGCTCTTTCCATATTTATGTAACAACTCCTTAAAACCATTCAGACAGATAACTATTTAATTTCTTAAAGACAGTTGTAAAGGTTCTCTCCCCCAGGACAGTGACTCGGTAGAGCTGAGGCACAGCCAGTCCTGAACCCTGATCGAGGCTGCAGTGGTTTTTTTTTTTTTGGTACAGGATCCACAAAATCAGACCAGACTGGGTTAACAAGTGGTGGCATGCACAAACAGGCCGCTCTAGTCAAGCCCAGGCTCTTCAACAGCATGTCCTCTGAACCAATGCCCCTCCCTTCTGGGACTGAAAACTTCACATAGAAATTGGAGCCATCTTTGTCCCAGAAGCCTTTGCTGCTGCCAGGGCAAGTGGGCTGGTGTGGACTCTCATTTAGGGATACCTGGAAGCTGAGATTACTGTCACTATTCAGCCATCCAGGGCTTTAGTATCTTTGTAAAAAGCATGTATTTATAGTGTTTTAGATTTTTCTAACTTTTGTATCTTACAGCATTGTACCCCAATGTTAAGGAGCCGTGTCCCCTCTTATAAGCGCCCTCCTAATAATAAACTTTTCACTGTAAAGCTCCTGGGCTAGAAGCGCAGTCTCATTCCTACTGCTGTCTCCTGGTAAACATTTCAAAGGGAGCCCGGTGTGGTGGGGGGTGCTTCAGAGCTCAGCAAGCGCCAATACCGCAACGCTGTGCCTGGCCCCACTGCAGTGGTCTCTACCTCACCAAGGACACCACACAGGACCAACAGGGGTCCCTGGGTCCCCCAGATATGATACCAGTCTCACAGATGCACAATGTGGAAACCCTCTCTGTTCACTCCCCTTGCACACCAAGAACTTTGGCAAGTGACTGCAGGCCACTATCCCAGCCTAGCGCCCTGCTGCTGGGCCTCCCCTAGCTGTCCTCTGTTGTACTGTCACCATGTCCCCCATGCCAATATATATATATCTTTGCAGAGACACACACCCCTGTAAACCCTGGGGTGTCATTCTGAATTTTAAATTCAAAACAAGAACAAAACAATATCCTGACTGAAACTTTCCATTATTAGGAGATGTACCAAACACCAAAGAATGAAGCACAACTGGAACAAAGATGGCTCCCCATCCTTCAGGGAGCCCCTTCCACCTGTCCTGTAAGGGCCTCAGTTGAGGAAGGAGCCACTTAAGGCAGGCTTCCACAAGCCACCTCATTCCCACCTTAGGGGTAATCCTTGGTCTATTCTTCCATCTTCATGCCCCTCCCTCCAGGCTTTGTGTAGAGACTTTTCAGTAGTTAACTTGGATGGGCCTGTACCCCAATCTGTTCCTTGGGCTAGAACTTAATTATAGTGATTTGTGAGAAGTGAATCATTTACCATCACTCAGCAGCACCTTGTCCCTCCCCTTTGGGAAGGCCTTGCGCCCCTGAGCCTTCCTAGTTCTTCGTGGATCTGCCTTTTCCCTGAGCCTGCATCTCCTTTTCAATCTGGTGTTCCCAGACCATGCGCGTGCTCTTGACAGTCTTCCATAATGAGTTCATCAACCCTCAGGGTTTCCAGACACATGAATGCTAGTGACTCCTGTAACAGCCAGCCCTGAGCTTCAACTTGGGGACAAAGGTCTGCTGGCCCATCAATTGCTCATGCTCACAATTCAGAAGACAGAATTACAGAAACGATTGTTCCCTTTTGCAGAACATCACCCTGAAGCCATCTTTGCCCCCGGCTCCCCACCTCCAGGTGCTCTTTAGACTCCCCAATCTCTGCTCTCACCGCCCTACAGGCCAGCTTCTCCAGCACCTGGACCCTGCCGCAGCATCCCAACTGCTCTGGTCTCCAGCCTGCTTTAACAGTTCGCACAGCCCATGTCAGAACTGTCCTATGATGAAATGTCTGAAAGAGTAAGAGAGGTTTATTTTGGCTCATGGTCTCAGACCTTTCAACCCACGGTCATTTGTCCCTGCTGTTGTGGGCCTGTAATGGAAGGAGGCAAAGAGAAAACAAGGGCATGGCCTCAGTGACTGTGAGGTCAGGCTTACCTCAGAGGTTCCTCAAGTTCCCAATACTACCATGAGCTGGGGGCAGCTTTTAACACATGGGTCTGTAAGGGTGGCATTCCAAACCTAAACTACAACACTGTCCTCAGTTCACAACACAAATTCTAAGGCCATTCCATAGAATACTTGGCCTTATTCTGTTCCTGCCCAACTCTCTACTCCTTGCTTTATCTCCAGTGCAGTGGTGATGGGGCCTGCCTGTGCTCCTCCTCCTCTCCACCTCTGGCTTACAGATTCTCTGACCCACACCACCAAGCCAGCACCCTGCCAGTGCTTTGCAGCTCAGTTCAGCTCTCCTCCAGTAAGCCTTTCAGGAGTGTTTGCCACCAGTCTCCTTAACAGTGTGTTACCTGTGTCTATCATCCTTTGCAAGTGCTAAGTCCCCCGAGAGCAGGGCTCTTCTTACATCTCTGGCTTCCTGTGGCCTATTCTGTGTATCAGCCAGTACCCTGTCTGGGTTTTGCCTTAGTGTTGTGCCTTCTGCATCTTTCCACAGTGTAACTAAAGACCAAAATCCAGTTCTGGGTCACTTGCTGTCCCCAAATTCTAATTTGTCTCTCTCTAGTCCAGAGATAAACATATGGCACAGTGGCTACTACTCCATATATCTGTCTACAGCAACAACATTAGTCACAATGCTGAGTCCACTCAGTCAGAGAATCCCCCTCAGTGCAGCTGATTAGGTATGTGTGGACCACCTTTCTGTCTGCAGCCTGTGGCACCTGATTCCCCCGGACAGGCAACTCTTCTCTGCCAGCACCATAATAACTACCATTTTTCTGTTGGGAGTGTTCTAGGACTTGCCAGCATGTTGTTTGGGCTCTCATTTCTATACTTTGTCATGATTTCCCATAAGAAATTTCATGTCCCCACTTACCATGTCCAGCATCACTTCCCTGATTCTCAAAGCAAGTCCAAGATGTGTCAGTATCATCTAGGATGCTAAAAATGAGGCTTTCACACACACCAACTTCATCAGAAACAGGGTGGGGCCTCTCAGGTGATTCTGGATGGGCTCACATTTGGAAAGTGCTGCAGTGTAGGCTGCCTGCAACCCTCTTCCCATTCTGCTTGTTCTTCTCTCATCTGTGACCTTGTCTTGCTCACCTTGCTCCAGGAGAAAAGAAATTTCATCCTTAAGACTGACTTCTCTGGCTCATTCTGATGCTGGCACCAACAGTGTCTCAGGCCATGCTGGCTGATTCCTGAGTCATTTCAGCCTCAGTGGGGCAGAGAGACAAGATTGATACCACCAAACTATGCTACTGATGAATACAGTCCATGTCCGTGAACTTCAGGTTAAATCAATGTCACTTCCAACCAACGTGGTTATTCTCATAAAGCACATAACCTGGGCATTGATGAGTCCCACATCTTTGTAGCATCAAAGCCATCTGGTTGGTAACAGAAGCACAAAGGCAATGATGGCCACTTCTTTCACAGGAACAGCAAGGAGGATCCTTGTTTAGCAGGCTGGGCTTGAGTGTCTGTTTACATATGACCTCTGCTGCTCAGGTTCTTGGTGGTGAGGGAAAGAGTATGCTTTCTACTGACAGTGCACACTTGTCATCCCAGCTCTCAGGAGCCTGAGGCAAGGGGATTGAGAGTGCAAGGCCAGTCCAGTCTGAGCCACAGGGCAAAACTCCATCTCAAAAGGGGGCGGTGGCAAAAGAGTGGCAAGATGGCTCAGTGGGTTAAGTGCTTGCTATCAAGCCTGATGACCTGAGTTCAAGTGTCAAGTGGAAGGAGAGAACAAACTCCTTCAAGTTGTCCTCTGACCTCCATATACACAAAGTGATACCCACATGTACACATATAAAGGTTTCAGGACCACTACCACCACCACCACCACCACCACACATACCAAGCACACTTGTGTTCCAATGATATAGTAATAATTTTAAGGTCAGGGTTTGAATCTGTGCTTTTCTTAAAAGGTTGTGGGGGGTAAGACCAATCACTAGGGCACAGGAATGGGGCTCCCCAACATTCTGAGGAAAGGTGAGCACAATTACTGTTGGTTTTGTTAACTGTTCACTCCACGTATTAGGAAAAATCTAGAACCAAGCAAGATACTTCTCTTGACACTGGAACCTACTTCACTCCTAGTAAAGACACAGAGTGTGTGTTCCAGAGATGTGGGGTGGGTCACTGATCAAACCCTGGCAGAGCTGAGCAGAGACTGAGCAGCCCTCAGGCCCATCCCCGTTCAGCACACTAAAGATGTTTGCTTTTTCTCTCCCTGTAGGCCTCTCATACAGGTTGATAATGATCTAATAATCAATTGTCCTTCGTAGCTGGGTGTGTGACAAGCCAATCTGGCTCATCAGAACATTAGCTCTCCTTCAAGCAGAGCACTAATGAACCAGTACCCCTGGCCATTCTAGACATGTTTAGTAAATTTAGCTTTGCAGTAGCAAACACCCACACTCAAAATAGTCCTGAGGGCCCACATGATTCTCCCGCATACCTCATGTTCTCTCAATGGTCACTGTTAAAAGACCGTCTCAAGAGCACTGGCTCCTTCAGAGGACCTAGGTTCTGGTTCCCAGCTCACAGCCACCTGTAACTCAGTCCCAGATGACCCATCACACTCTTCTGGCCTCCACAGGCACTGTATTCATGTGTATACAGACACAGAAGCAGGCAAAATGGCAGAACACACTTCATCACAAAATAAAGATAAATTTTAAAAAGATGATCCCAAGGAACATGACAGACCATGGCAAAGATGTTTTCCTTACCTCTCCACAGTGGGAGGATGACACCGGGCACATGTCTTCCTCAAGTATGAGGGTTCTCAGGAAAGGACTAGTGTGCACTCTATGATCCTTGAACCACACCCTACATTACTCAGCCATCTAAATGAGCCCCACTTGCCCCAATCTGCAGTCTCTCTGGATCAGATGTGGCCAAGTTCTATAAATAGAGAACAAGCCAGTTGGTTCTGTCAACCTCATACTCTGCCATATTTTAAAATTACAAAAATAGCCATGCCTTCATCACTTTGAAATTATTACATAACATGATTGTCTCAGGGAAGAAAAATTTGACTCTTGTCTCTCTCTCTTTAGTTTCCAGAACTCATGGATCATTAGACTCTCTGATCTTTTCCACCAGGCAGACTGTACCTGTCAACAAAAATTATGGGCCTACTATGTACCCGACACTGCTATAGAAATGCAGAAGGTATTTAAGACAGAAAGCCAGTCTCTTACCTTCTGTCTACTCTGGAGGTCTAACATAAGTGTACGGCACCAGTTACCACAGCATCAGCTCAGAAAGTGAGCCATCAGTAGATACTCTGCCCCTCAGTGTCCCCATGAAGAGCCAATGTCCCTGATAATCAGCTGAGGTCTCAGGAACAGACATCACATACAGTTGACAAACTCTTTAGACTCTCTGTAGGTCTACTACAAAGGACACCAGGCGCCCCCACAACTCATGCCCCTCCCCAAGCATACAATACACATCAGATTTTATAAATAAATCATCTTTTAATTACCTGACTTTGTTAGTTAGCAAAATCAAATACAGCCTTTTCTAGTCTATTTTTTACTTAGTCATGTGGCCTAATATATTTTCTAAAATCTTCCATGTTTTAAGAAAAACATGTTCTGCCTTCCTGGCAACCCAGAGCCAACTTCTCTAATTTTCCTTCTTAACCAATGGCTAATGTACTCACTTCAAAGTATCAGTCCTACTGAAGGGGTAAACTCAAGCTCAAAGATTACAAGATCAATGGGGGCAGCAGGGATATGGCGACACCAGGACTCAGAGCAAACAGCACCCACTGTTTGCTGGAATGCTACCATCACTGAGATAGTATCTCCTCCCCGTGGTGCTCTGACAGTGATCTCTGGCTTCCAATCAGCTATGAAATCTCAAATGGATGGGGAAAGTGCTAGGTCAGAAGAGCACTGTCACCAGCATGCTCAGAACCAACACTCGCTGCTCCTTTGGCCTGTACAGGGCTGCACTAAGGGCCCTTGCCCTGCAGCAGGGAGAGGGGTGGTTTACCCTCCCCAGAGGAGGAAACCTTTGCCTGACTTTTACTTCTTTGTGGCAGGAACTCAGACACTTAACTGACAAATGTCCATAAGGAACTATAAGGAGACAAACCCATGAGCCACCTGTCCCCCGTACCCACTGGGCACACACTAGATCTACAGATGTCTCCTTTTTGTCTCAACAACATCCATTTTAGCTTAGAGCCTTGCTTTTAGAGGGGACCAGAGGAAGTACACAGGAAACAGCACAAACCCTTGGCCTTCAGACCTTCAGCCAGTGGGAATGCTGGTGATCGAGCACAGAAGCAGGTCTCCTGTGGAGCCCAGGTTGGCCTCAGCATTCCCCCACCCTCCCACCCCACCCCTGTGCTGGGATCACAGTGCGCTCTATGACACCTGGCTCTCCTGTACTACAGACCTCTTAAGACTCATTCTACCCTCGCACAAAGAATGTAAACGCAAGATGTCTTAATACTGTCATTTCATCCTCATTCACTTATGCCCCAGGAACAAAGATTTCTCCCTAGTTCTTTTCTAAAAGTCCAGGTGGCCAGCACAATAATGGCAATCTTGGCGGAGCAGAACCTGGTTGAGATGGGAAGCACTTTGAGTGCACAGTGCTGGCATCAGTATCAGTCTAACCTAGCAGGAAGAATTTAGTGCTCTTCATCCGAAGAAAGGCCTTCGATCTCATCTCTGTCTCCTCCTATTGCCATCCAGAAGGCTTTGGCTACCTGTGGAGTAAAGCATGTGACAAGTTTCAGGCTGACAGCTAACCTTCAGCCCATTTCATATGCCACACCTGAACTGACTGAGGTCTCTAATTCTACGATTTTGCCTTCCAGCAACACACATTAAAAATCCCTGGGCAGCCTTTGACCCAGACTTCTGCACTAGACATGTGCTAAGCTTGTGATTGGGGCTGCACACGAATGTGAAGCTTCGTTATTGACAGAAGCAAAAACATGAGCATGCAGTTGGCCTCAATGTTTGGAATGGAGCTGGGTAAATAAATGATGACACAGTTCATATAATGAGATGTCACCAATCATGTCAGTTTCTTGCCAAAAACATGTGTTGTTTTGGTAATAACAAAACAAAACAGCTAAGAGTTTTCCTGTCTAACAGGAAGGCAAGCATCCTGAGTCCTAGTGAAGGTTCCATGTCATGTAACAGTCAGTTTGACTTTAGCAACTGTGTTACTATTGTACAAGTAAACATCCAGCTGGCTATAATATCTAGTGCAACACTTAAGGCCCTGTGGCACTGCACATGTCACAGGTAAGACCTTTTGTAGATGATAAATACCTGCTGGGTCTTCTCACCTTTTCTGCATGTAACTTTCTTTGCTCATGAGGAAGCGTAGCAGCCTTATCTAGGAGGAAAATATATCTTAAGAAATTTGTCTAATAGCACAGCAGAATCTGGAGTGCATGGGTGTGCTAACACTTGAAGATAGTAGATGGGTTTCTAAGACAGATGCTCATGGTATAGTCATTACAGCCATTAGGAAGCTTGAGTCTCCCAAATTTTCCAGATGGGATGTGAGTGAATTGGTGGGAATTTGACAGATGCTGTGATAATGAGACTCACTGAGAAAAGACACACACTTACGAAGAAGGGAAAGTGAGGGGGAAGAGAATCAAGACAGGAAATTTTTCCCCAGGGAATTTTTACCAATAAAATGGTCCAATCTCCTAAGCAGCTAAATTTCTCAAGCCCAGAGCTCAGAATCCAATCTAGCCATTACAAAGTGAGCTGCTACCACTGCTACCATATAAACTAGAAAAGCATCGACATGAGAGGATTGAAACGTGCTGAGATAATTACCTTTCATTTCCTTTAACTTTGAAAAGAGCCTCTCGAAGTTCTCCAGATCTCCTCCTCCAGTGGTAAGATTTGCTAATTCTTGAATATCCAGGTCTAACATGGGATCTGAAATCAGAGTTGGCCACATGTTCCTTTATCCACGTGCTGGGTACAGGCAGCACTAACTCTTGTGGGTGTGGGCAACAGCTGAGTGCTGACAGGCGCCAGCTTTACAGGTTGTGCAGAGGACCCTGCTGAGCTGCTGCAGGCCCACTTTTCATCCTCACAGCACTGCGATGAGGTAGCGGACACTGCTTTCATTTAGAGATGTGACTTGTTCAAGCAACTTGCTCTGAAAGGCAACTTCCCCTTCCTACACTCTCAACAGGGACCAGTACGATCATGTCCACATCCACCATTACAATGGCCACACCTAAGCCTAGTAGGACAATTATAATTTTCTACAACTTGTAGATGAAAAACAAAACAATCCATGTTTAAAAATGAACTCACCTAAATGCCAGAGGTGGAATTGCTTTGAATCATATTTTCTTTTTGTTGTTGTTGCTTTTTTGTTTTGTTTTGTTTTTGTTTTTTTCCGAGACAGGGTTTCTCTGTGTAGCTTTAGAGTCTATCCTGGCACTCGCTCTGGAGACCAGGCTGGCCTCGAACTCACAGAGATCTGCCTGCCTCTGCCTCTCGAGTGCTGGGATTAAAGGCGTGCGCCACCACCGCCTGGCGAATCATATTTTTTTAATACATTCTTAATACAAATCCTTTGCCATATCTCTACCTCAGTGCATGACTTAAAAAATAAAGATTTCTTATAATTATGCATATATACATATGTGTCTGTGAGTGGGTGTGTGAGTGAGTGCAGGTGCTGGCAGAGACCAGAAGAGGGCCTCGGGTCTCCTGAGGCGGGCCTTAAGTGGTTGTCAGCCTCCTCCACATGTGGGTGCTGGGAATCAAACCTGGGTCCTCTGTAACAGCAGTATACTCTCTTAACTGTCCAGTCATCTCTCCAGCCCTGTGGTAGTGGCTTCCCTGACCATCCAGTGCCCAGGGCTCCATCCTCAGATTCTTTCCACTGCTGGCAGAGCTGTGGCAGCATTGGTGTGCCCCCCCCCCCACCACCTGGCTTTCTAACATTTTCTACCCCTGCTGCAGTGAGCACATGGAGTACTGAGAGAAGCTTGCTTTACACATTTTTTGTCCATCTTTTTCCGCTTCCCTTACATCCATCTCTCTGTCCACCCATCCCCCCTCCCTTACACGCACTGCTCTGTCCACCTGTTCTCCCTTCCCTCTGTCTCTCCACCACCATTTTTGGAGCACCAGGAATCAAACCCAGAGCCTTACACATGCTTGGTAAGCACTCTACCACTGAACTACGCCACTGAGCCACACCTTCATCAAAATGGAGTACTGTATTTCCACTTTACAACATTCCTGGGGGCAGATTGCTCACTCCTGTTTGACCGAGGCAGAAACTCAGACCTTTGAGGTGAATCATCTACTCAAGGCTGTATCACCACTAGAGGCACAGCCATGAGTTGAACCCAATCATATGGTATTGAATGCCCACAGCCTTGACCACTACAAGGCTCTATATACCTGTCCATAAACTCTTTGAAGACAAGGATGGTGATTTATAATCCTTTTCATTTACCACACTGCCGTACAATTTGTTTAAGTGCATCTGGGGTCATGAGTGTGTCTTGGTTCAGTGCACACCAGGTCAGCTATTGGTGTACAAGGCCAAAGATGACATTTCTGATTTATCTGTGGGCAAGAGATGGCAACTGAGCTAGAGACAAGGACAGAGTCACTTTTTGTTTTAAAAATATGCTAAAAGAAAATAATTTAGACAGAGCACTGAAGACAGCAGTATTCTTTTTTTTTTTTTTTTTTTTTTTTTTTTGTTTTTCGAGACAGGGTTTCTCTGTGTAGCTTTGGCGCCTATCCTGGCACTCGCTCTGGAGACCAGGCTGGCCTCGAACTCACAGAGATCCGCCTGCCTCTGCCTCCCGAGTGCTGGGATTAAAGGCGTGCGCCACCACCGCCCGGCGACAGCAGTATTCAAAGTATGAGGAAAGGAGAACAATCTTGCAAAGACATGCTGGGAGGGAAACCAGGAGACGCTGTGAGCAAAGAGAAGATAGCATGTCAGCGAAGTGCTATCCACAATCCTGAAGGCCCTTGCTCAATCCAGATGAGGATGGGGAATCCTGGCATTAGTGGCACAGAGGTCACAGGTGGCCTTCACAGACAGCCTTTTGAATGGCAGAGTGGGAAGGAAAGCTAGATGAGTTAGCTGAGTGAAAAGTCAAAGGGGGCTCATATCCAGTGGGTATGAGGTTCATTTCCTTCTCCATGTTTGAAGCCAATTCTTCCCTCAATGTTTGCTGTCCCAGTGTCTTCTGAGTTCTGCTGTTATCTCTGGGGAGCTCATGGAGGAACTTACCCACAATGCTGTCAACCTGTGCACTTGCTGAGCCACATGCACCACCACGATGGCCGGGAAGGGACTCTATCCTCTCAGCTGCTGGCAATGGGGCCTGCTCCTGGGGGAAATACATAGAAGCAACAATGTAACAGTAAGCTATTTCAGTGAAAAATCCAAAAGAGTTCATTCTTCCCATCCCCAGGAGCTGTGGAGAAGCAATAACAGAACATGAAGGAGGAAACAAATAGGACTGAGGTCACATTCCAACACAAAAGGCTGCAAAGCCACCGTCCCAGCTGTTATTTCCCTCAAGGGAAAACTATGAATGTTAGAATCTTGCTACTGGTCACTAAAACATGTTTGGTTTGCATCATTTAAGAGACATGTTATGGGCTGGCTGACCAAGTGAATACAGAATGGAGCTACTGAGGACAGAGGGTGAAGCAGACTGTCAGTTCACTCAGGCTTGACTCAGGACCTTGGTTCAACAAGTACTGAAAAAGATTCACTTCTTTTTCTATGTAAAGATCTGAAAGCAAGATTATGCTGCAAGGAGACTGGTAAAAGATATTCCCCAACCCCACATCTGACAGAGGGCTGATCTCCAAAATATACAAAGAACTCAAGAAGCTAGTCTCCAAAACACCAAACAATCCAATTTAAAAATGGGGTACAAAACTAAATAGACAATTCTCATTAGAGGAATCTAAAATGGCTGAAAGACACATAAGAAAGTGTTCAACATCCTTAGCCATCGGGGAAATGCAAATCAAAACAACTCCGAGATACCATCTTACTCCTGTCAGAATGGCTAAAATCAAAAACACAGATGACAGTTTATGCTGGAGAGGATGTGGAGAAAGAGGAACACTCCTCCACTGCTGGTGGGAGTGCCAACTTGTACAGCCACTTTGGAAATCAGTATGGCGACTCCTCAAGAAAATGGCAATCAGTCGACCACAAGATCCAGCAATTCCACTCCTAGGCATATACCCAAAAGAAGCACATTCATACAACAAAGACATCTGTTCAACGATGTTCATAGCAGCACTATCTGTAATAGCCAGAAACTGGAAGCAGCCTAGATGCCCCTCAACCGAAGAATGGATGGAGAAAATGTGGTACATTTACACAATGGAGTACTACTCAGCAGAAAAAAAACAATGGAATCTTGAAATTTGCAGGAAAATGGATGGAACTTGAAGAAACCATTCTGAGCAAGGTAACCCAATCACAAAAAGACAAACATGATATGTACTCACTCATAAGTGGATTTTAGACATAGAGTAAGGGATTACCAGCCTACAATCCACACTGCCAGAGAAACTAGTAAACAAGGAAGATGCTAAAAGAGACAAACTTTGTCCCCTGGAGAAGGGGAAAGGGTCACCATCCCCTGAGCAAATTGAGAACATGGGAAGAGGGGGGAGGAAGCTATGAGAGTGAGAAGGGAAGAAAAGGAAGGATGCAGAGGTCATGAGGAAGCAGAAAGGTTGAGTCAGGTGTAGATTAGAAGAAAGGACATATGATAGGTGGGATTTTAGTTGGGGAGGTGGTAGGGGAGGAAGGGAGGGAGAAGGGAACTGGGATTGTCATGTAATTCAATCTTGTTTGTAATTCAAATATATAAAAAATAAAAACTAAAACAAAACAAACAAAAACTATAATGATCAGGTTAAAATAATAATAATAAAAAAAGATTATGCTGCAAGGAAATCCTTGTATACTTAAAAAAAAAAAGCTCTAGCAAAAACTCTACTCGATATCCCTGAATGAGCACCTACAGAGGGGGCTGGACCAGCATTCCTTCAACAAGGGTCAGGCACAATGGGGCGCTTTAGAGCCTCCTTTCAGCTGCTGAGTTCTCTTCTGCTGCCTCTTAAATAGAAACTAAAGAAATGAAGATGTGTAAAGATCCACAAGGATAGTAAACTCAAAGAGGAGAAAAGATCCGGAAAATTCTTTACCTCTGAGTGACAGCTCTCTGCTGATCCAATGCTGTGGTTTGCTCCAGCCAGTGAGTTGAGAAGGCTGAAGCCCTGGCTCCTGTCTGAAGAGAAGACATCATGAGCATCGTGGCTTATGTTTTATATTGTGAAGTGACTACAATGACAAGCAAAGGCTCAGTCCTCAAAATTCCACCCCTAACCCTGCTAGTAAAAGAGTTTGGATCTAGCTGGGCAGTGGTGGTGCACACCTTTAATCCCAGCACTCTGGAGGCAAAGGCAGGCGCTCTCTGTGAGTTTGAGGCCAGCCTAGACTACAAAGCGAGTTCCAGGACACCCAAGGCTACACAGAGAAACTCTGTCTTGAAAACCGAGAGGGGGATGGGGGGTGGAGAGTGTGTGTGTGAGTATGTGTTTGGATCTGAAATATCCCATGAAGGCCTGTGTGCTCAAGGTGCTACTGGGAAGTGGTAGAACATACTTGGAAGAAATAAGGTCATTGGGGTCATGTTCTTGAAGGGGACACTGGGATATGGGCCTCTTTTTTGGCTTCCTGTTCACCAAGAGGTGAAAAGTCATCTCTATCACACAAACATACCCTGATGTACTGTGGTATGACACATCCAAAGTGACAAGGGTGATCAACTATGAATCTAAACCCTGAGCTAAGGCAGGCTGAGCCACATAAACTGATTATCTCAGGCATTTTATAAGAATGACACAAAGTTGACTGACACACATACTCTCTCAATTCTGTTTTAAATAACAGAATATTGGTCAAGCTGAAAAACTAGTAGGCTATTACACACAAATACCATTCCATGGCTTCATTTGCGAGTTACAACACCAATGTTTTAACAGTTGCTATTGGTTAAAGTCACGAACGTTTTATAAGTCATCGTGAAAGCATTACTACTAGGCAAAAAGGAGCATGGTGGTTAATACACTTGTCATCTTGCTACCGAGAAGCCACCTGTACTCAAGGTTCCCAAGGTGTTTGTGTTACAATGAAGACAGGTCTGGGGCAGACAAAGTATCTGGAACTGATCCAAGAATCACCCAGAACACACACTAAAACTTCCCAGGATTCAAAGGCTCTGAGGCTAAGTCACCAACCTGGGGTAGAGGCCCCTCAGCTCAACTTCTAGCAAGTGTTCCAGCAAGCAGAATCAGGAGCAGACAGGGCACTAAGGTTTCTGCAGCTTGCAGGCTTGGGGCAGTGTGCCTTCCTCTAAGGGTTTCAGGGACAGGGGACAGGTTCACCCCAATGGCAGGTAGGTCTCACTTTGAGCTCTGGATATATATGCATGACTCACTTGTCATAGTGATACATGAGCCCTTACACGCTGGCTGTCTGGAACACAAGGCAAATTTTCCACAGCAAACACAAGCGCCCCCTCCTTCTATTACTGGAAATAACTTGGACTTTGAGTAATTTTCACTTCTAATTCAGAAGTCTCTCAAATCCCAACTCTACAGCTTGGCATTCCCTAAACTTGGCAGGCTGCCACTCATGGTAGGACGTAAATAAGCTCAGTGCATCTTAGATCCCCCCTCCCCCACCCACACACCCTTTTGGTTTTTCAAGACAAGGTTTCTCTGTGTAGCTTTGTAGACCAGGCTGGCCTTGAACTCAAAGAGATCCACCTGTCTCTGCCTCCCGAGTGCTGGGACTAAAGGCATGCGCCACCATCGCCCAACCTCCCAGTGCCTCTCTTACAGTGGCTCCCTGTGAGCAGCTGGACAGAGGGGGATGCAACCAATAACACACTATAAAACTTTGGGCACTTTTTTTCTTTTCTATGTCCATCCATTTAAAAAAAAAAAGATTGTTTTATGCTATGTGTATTTAGCCATGATTTTAAAACCAGCAAAATAATGTTTAATGCTCTAATGCTACCATATAAAATTGTGAGAAAATAAAGAGCAGTGGGAAGAGGCAGAGCTTATGATCAAAACTAGCTTCCACCTTGTGACCTCAGACAAAGCAACCCCCCAGGGCCTTAGTCTGCAGTCACTAGAAACCTGTGATGAGAGAAAAGGGGTTGTCTGCATCCTCTTCTCATGCTCCTTGGAATTCACTGTGCTTAAGTACTTTTATTTTTGTTTAATATATATATATATATATGTATATATCACACACACATATATAATATATATTTAAAATCCTTATATTTCAAAACCTTAAAAAGTGCATGATGAACCATGAGTTTAGAATGAGCTGGAAGGAGTTGTGCTCAGTGCTTTCTGATAAACAATGGAGGATTCAGTCAGCTCATCAGAGGGCTCATTATGTCCCCTGCTTATATTTTAAGGAAGTCAGAGACACATACATTTATACAACTGAGAAAGGAATCCACTTTTGTTTATTCAGAGCAGACTGCCTGCATGGAGTGTTGTTCAAAAGGCTTGGATGGTATTCTATACCCTGGCTCTTTTGCTTTGGTGTTCTTCACACTTCCACCCACGTGCACCCACTGCACTCCACGCTCATGGAAAAGAGTTACATAAATCTTCTCTTACCACTTGCTGGTAACCATCCCAGGCTCCCCCAGTTTCCAGCATGGGAATGCAACTCCTATTGAGAAGGGCCTTTCCCTTAAGCTGTTGAGACTAATTCTAGCATTTATGGTTTTATTGGCAGCACAAAAAACACTAGACTAGGAAGGAACAAATCAAGGTACTTGTTTAACTGATTCTTCTAGAACTTCAGGGATGTGGGAGGGGCAAGTTTTTATGAAAAAGAAATTACTCAGGAAGCATAAGCAGGACCCCTCACCCCCAGCCCTGCATACCAGCAAGGAACCACATACACCTGATGCTTACAACTGTGGTTGGAACCAAACCCTTTCCATACTACTTTTCCCAAAACAATTTAAGCAGTCCTAATTCAGAAATCTGAAATGCTCCAAATGCCAAAACTTTCTGAACACCACATGATCCCTCAGTGGAAACTTCTACATAGCCCAAACACGGGTGCCTTATCAACCCTGTTACAAATTACCTTCAGGTCATATGCATAAGGTATACAGAAGACTTGAACAAATAGTACATATGTCCCGTACACATATGTTCGAGTATTCCAAAATGCAGAAAGTTGAACAACTTAGTTCTAAGTACCTGAGTTATGGACACTCAGCCCATATATATATAAGGTTTAATTTATAAGTTAGACACAGTTAAGATAATAACCACAATAAAACAAGTAATTCAAGCAGAATACTGTAATAAACGTTCTCAAACAAGATGGAGAGATAGCTCAACAGTTAAGAGTACTGGCTGCTCATGCAAAGGACTGCAGTTTGGTTCCCAGCAATCACATGGTGGCTCAAAACCCTTTGTAACTCCAGCTTTAGGGGATCTGGCATCCTCCTCTGTGGGCACTGCATGCACATGGTGTTTATACATACACTAAGTCCCAAATACATACACATAAAAAATTAATTACAACTTTAAAAAGAATTCTGCAGGAATAGTTACTCTCTCTCCAAATATCACCATGTACTGAACTCACTCCTCTTTTGACTGTGAGAAGATACTCTAGGAATTTCTAGATGGCTTCCCTGCAGCTCCTCCCAGTATCCCTGGCACTGCATCTGAAGCCATTATTAACAAAGTGAAGATCATGTGAACACAGGCACTGAAGAACTTAAACAGTCAACTGACAGTCAGAATGGCCATTCAATGACTGCTGGGCAGGTGGCAGTGTGTGGGATGGGCTGCTCAAAAGGACAGTCTACCTCCTTGGGCAGGTGGAGGAGGACGGCACATATGCCACCTTGCCATTCAGAAAAGCATGCAAGCTGAAAAGAGGAGTTACTCATTTCTAAAACTCCTGGGGTAATTTCTGCAGGTAACCAATAGTATGGGTGAAGAGGGACCACTCTGTATTAAATTCATCCCCAAAACATCTGACTCCATTCTAGTGGTCTAGCAAATTACAGACAGAAGATGTCAGTGCCGGGAAAAGTAAAACAAACAAACAAACAACAACAACAACTCGTTATTAGTGTCAATTCTTCAAATGTTAAAAATCTTGGCCACATCCCCAAACCTACGCAACTTGTTACATTTTCTGTGTTCACTTTTCAGTTTTTATTTCTTGAAAGCAACAACTATTTGTTGTTACCTCAGCAAGTTCAAGCATTCTCTGCATTTTAAGGTGTTTCTACAATTCTTACATACTTTTCCTCTCTCCACAAATACTTTCCTTTTAGTGTGAACCTGGTCTTCTCCACTCATGGTAAGTGATAGCCAGGGCTAGACTCAAGCTAATCACAGCAAGGACTTCTAAATTCACAGAGAAGTTGCATCCATTTTTTTTTTAGTGATTATCTTAAGCCATGCCATCGCACCTGGGTTATATAACCTTTAAGAAAGTCACAAATGCTGTCACCAGTATCAGAAAAAGGAGCTTAAGAGCACTGGCTGCTGTTCCAGAGGACTGGGATTTAATTCCCAGCACCTAATGGTAATAACCATCTGTAACTCCAGTCCCAGGGGATCTTATGCCATCTTCTGGCCTCTGTGGGTACTGTACCCATATAGTACATAGACATACATATAGGTAAAACACCTGTGCGCATTAAAACAAACAGAAAAACACCACAAAGCCAAACCCTTATTTATTCTCTCTCACTCACCCACTGCTTGAAGTCTTGAATCCGCTATTAAAGCAATGCTTACTTAGGCTCACTTAGACTCAGCACTTCATGTGGTTCCACTTGTGCTAGATTCAGGAAAGTGTGCCTATGCTCTGCTTGCCACGTGGGGGAGCTGCTCACAAGTCAAGAGCCACTCCCATGGGAAAGTGAGATTGAGTGATCTCCTTTCTAAGAACAGTATGCTTGCTGTAGAGAACGGAAATATCAAGATGGAAATGACAGCAGCAAAGACACTAGTGAGCACTATGGTGAATGTCCTTCCTCCCACTCCTACACACAGTCTGAAGACCTAACTAAACTCTGCAGTGAGCACTGCTCTTCTCAAAGTCATGAAGGAGAGAGAGCTCTGCACTAGTCACAGCGAAGGCCCTACTGAGTTTTATCTCTAAAGCCTGGAGCACAGGCCTGAAAAATCCTCAAAGGGGAGGGAGCTGGCAATC